GGACCTATCTATGGACAAAATACAAGCGAAATCAATTTTTCGACCTGTGCCATTGATAGGCGATTTAGGTCCATTTTTATAGGCATTCACTCTTAAAACCGTTGGGGTTGTACAATGGGTTTTAGGTTCGATTTCTGTGACAGTGTTTCCGCGCTATGAAATCAGTGAAGAGGACGAGAAATAACGTTCCGTCACCAGCTGTTTATTGACTTTGTAGGCAACCAAATTTTTATCGGCCCTTTGCCACCTTTGAAATATGGCAACAAAACCAGTGAATACAAATATACATCCAAGTGTCTTGGGCTAGCTATTGATAGCGGGCTTTCATGCTATTTACGGCAAGAACCGTACCAGGGATGTTTGTGAAACATTTAACAAGAAAACTGAAGTTTTGAAAACGATAAAGTGTTTTTTTTGTTCCAAACCAGACCACGTAGAGCTGCGTTAGCCTGAAACCTCCTACACGAGGAAATTAGAAGATGCTGTAATCTTTCTTCTTTTAAGAGAAAACTTTTAAGAGAAAAAATAATATTCTAGAATCAATAAACTACATTCGAGGTTCTTGTTCCATTGATGCAAGAGAGTCTCAACTGGGTTAACCTTTAGCCGTGAAATGGGCCTAAATTTTGCCGTTGGGCATAAATATTTGAAAATTTTAAACAAGAGCTGCAAAAAATGTTAACCGTAAGTGGTTTATGGTTTATTGCAGTTCAGATCGTGGCGTGGCGATCTGCCAATTGATCTACCAAGAGTAAACTTTACGAACTGCCGTCCAAACCGCCAAGCGCATGCAGGCTAGTTTGCGAACTTCCTGCAGGTAGGGGGAAACGGCCACCCACTTTGGATTCACGCTAGAAAAAAGAAACCACTCATCCCTGCCGAAAGATGTTCAGAGGTGAAACCATTTGTATGACATGACCGATCACTAAGTACAAGAGTTTTGGTTTTGAGCAATCTTACACAAGGGGATATCAAAACGATGGAATTTATCAAAAGTAAGACGTCAGACGTTCCTTTCTGTAACAATGTTGAACTCTTTTATTGCTTTTCACCGCGTTTTTCTCTCCAAATTTTGCATCTAGAAAGAGTGCGATTTATCTGACCTTTGCCTCTTTCATTCTTCAAGTATCATCCTTTGCCAGAACTGAAGTATTTTTGGCTGGGGTTTGATTGATGATTTTTACCCCTCACAAGAGCACTGTCAGTCTGGTTTTTGATGTTCAACAGTTTCGTAGACAATTACAATTAAAATCTAACTAAAAAATATGAAATTTATCTTCTAAGGTAACAAGACTGTTCCACAGGTTTTTAATTTAAGTTTTATATGGAGAAGGTATCTTCAGATCGGAAAGCGCGTCTTTTTTCCGTCGTTCATTACAAAGCACATATTATAAATAAAAATAAGAGAGCCTTATCATTTCACCAAATTTACTTTCAACTTTTTAAATTCCTTTTTCTTAAAAGCAAAGACTTCCTCTAGGAAGAAGCATAATTTCCCGCACCTCTCTGACAATAAGCTAGGCGACCATCCAATCAAATATCGCCACGAAACCTCCATTCGGCGTGTAGGCGCAAGCTTTGAAAATTTAAATTGCAAATTATTTATGCGACGAAGCATTCGTGTTGCGTTCTTCTATCAAACGGCAGTCATTAGTTTGGGTGAGCAAATGGTGACAAATTAGGAATAATTTCACGCGCGTTTTGTCAAAATTCTTATGATTTCTCGAGCCTTTAAGCGAGGAAATTACTTCAATTTTGTCAAGACCCAAGTGAAATTATTTCTTAATTTCACGAGTATACCATTTGATTACCTTTAATTAATATCACCGGTGACAAATAACGCTTACAATCGTGGGTTTTTTGACCAGTTTCTTGTATCAAGAAATTTCGCGCCAAACGTTGCCGTGGCAATTTTGTAATTTCACAAGTGAAATTATAAATTAACACTGAAATTTCGCGCCAAAATTAATTAAGGAGTAATTTGTCACCCATGACATGTATTAACGGTGGAAACATCAACGAGCTGAAAAAATCTTTTCCCTTCACCAATTTGCCAGAAGAACTCTATATGACCCTAATGTTGTGTATTAAAAAAAATAACTTAACATTTGTCCTTTAGAAAAGAGCCGTATAAAGCCTGGAGCGTTAGAAATTTAAGTCAAAACCTATCATTCTCTTGAGAATGAGAATCAGCGCTTCGATAAGATCAAACAAAGCACACGATGATAATTTTCCTTTGGTGCATGTTTATTGATTGAGCTCTACGCTACTTAAGATTACTCCATAAAAAATAGGCGATCCTACTAAGCGAGGTTCCAAACGCATAACTGGGGATCCGAAGGGTATTTATTCGCAATTGAGCAACACGTGTTAAAATCTCGAACACGAGCGAAGCGACACGTACGATCGTTTAACTAGAATTTCACTTCGAATTTCGAGATAACTCAGAAACTACTTACATCTGAGTTGTGTTCTTCTCAAAAACCATGCATAGGGATAGCAGAGCGTATTTTGAATCGGGGGAATTGGGGGGGGGNGGGCTACAAGAGAGCGCCAGAGGCGCTAACTTGTAGGGATCTGGAGATGTTTGTAAGATTATTATTTTATGTATTTTTTGCTAAAGCCCCCTAGCCCCCGCCCCCTCCCTTCCCCCCGGGCTCCGCCGTCCCTGATGCACAGGATCTTTGAGATCATTTTACTGCAATTCGTGCTGATATCTCCGCCACATCGATGCAAAAATCGTCATGTAGACCATATTAAATTGTCTGAGCTCAAAGCTTACTGGAAAATTAACCGGGATCACCGTGTGCGTCTAGTTTCTTCAAATCGGGATTGATTCGTACACTGCCGATACTACCAATATTTCAACATTTAGCATTTAAAAAAGACGACACACCGTTTAAATTTGTAAGACATGTATACTCAGTATCCATCTTCAGTTAAAGGATGTTTACAAGTGAGTAACTTTATATAAAGTAGGTAACAAGTAGGTGTAAATTACAAAATGTAGAATAATAGTACAAATCAGTAAAAAAGTTACATAATACTTGAGGGATACAAAAAAGGTGCGAGTACAAATCTGTGAAAAATACTGAATACAAATAGTAATTAAAGTAGGAGTGTTAAATTAACATGCTTGAGTTGTTTATTCAACGCGGGTCCCTCCCATTCAATATGAAGGGCTTCTTGATCTTAAGTTAGAAATTAGTAAGAGCCGAGTCTAAGATGGAAAAAAAATTAAAAGAGCCTAGATTCTTACACGACTCAGAACCCTGAAGATGCTTATAGATATGGGAATTGCGATCCGAGAGCAAGTGCTCACGAACCCTGGTGCCAAAATGGTTTCACCGACATAACGGGTGTAACATCCTGCACATGTAAATTTGTAAACCACCTGGCAACGGAGTGCACTGGGGATCGAGTCCCTCACACTGAACATGTTACTTAACTTATAGGAAGAGAAGGCTAACCTAATGTCTAAATACTTACAATATTTCTTAGCGATGGTTTTGATTTTACGTTGCGCTAAAAGGGAAAAGGGGCCAATAGAAGGTAATTTGAAAAACCGTTTGGTCGTTCCCTCGGAATGGTCCTGCCGGAATGCATCAGCTGAGGTGTTGTGAACCTTATAAAGGTATTGATTAACCACCCTTTGTATAATGTTACATGGGAAACGATTTTTCATAAGAATAGATGTTAATGTTAATTTTTTTACGCGGGGAGTATACTATAAACGCCTCTTCGGGTTCTGGCCTTTGGGCCAAAACCTTGCGGTGGCAATTATAAAATCTTTCGACTACTCTTAGATTAAAACAGTTATTGTAAGTATCGTCCAGCGAAAGTTTTATTAATCTATTTATCCAGTTTTCAACAAAAATATGTGTTCCCATGTAGTAGGCTCCCTGTAACCAGTTAGTAGATTGACGATTGCCAGGCTGACAAATTTGTAGAGTTATTGTGTAGTATTGTTTTAAGCTAGCGATCATCCTATACAATGGGCGTTGTGTTGAAAGTTAACAAAATGTGTATTTAGTAAGTATCAAAAGTTTGAATTGACTATGAACAATGTTCGTTTGGATTTCCATCATGTGCTCGATTTTCAAACGTTTTCAGGATAATGCTCAATTTCTCTATCAGTTTCCTTGCAGCTACAGAAAGGGAAATTACAACACATCTGTAACCTGGGGTAAAAGAAGTTTTTTGCTACCTGTAGCTGGTAGGGGACACTCTCAATCCCTTCCTTGTGAGCTGCGAGCGCTGGGTAAATATCTTTCATCACTTCACTGTACTCTGGCATGTGAGCAGGAATAGGAGAGCTTTCAGCTGGGTCATCTGTCATGTCATAAAGAAGAGGTGGGTCATGCACGTTAACCTGATCTCCATGACACTTACAGATGCCTCTTCCGATACAGCTTTCAGTTCCTTCAGTCCATTTTGGTGTCATAAAATGCGCCTTCCAGACAGTGTCAGTGTTCTTTGGCCGATAACGGACAGCATGGACCTGATTTCCACAATAATGGAAAAGAAATTCATGAGAAGACTCTTGCGTCTTGTCAGTCAGCAGTGGTAAGAGATCTTTTCCATCGATGACTCTGTCCTCTGGAAGGTCTGCACCAGTTAGTTTAGCTACTGTGGGTAATACGTCCATGCTACTGGTTAGCTCGTCGAGTGAGATCCCAGCTGCGATGTGACCTGGCCATGATACTATTGTAGGCATTCTAACACCACCATCCCAGCACTGTCCTTTGCCTGTCAAAGAAACATACCATTGAAAAATTTAAATTTGACCCAATTTAATTTTGAGACAATAGTATTTTTGGTAACATAGACACCAATACTAACTCACCTACAGAAGCAATTTATTTTTGCAGGCCTATGATGTTATCTTGTTGCCCTTTTCATGGTTAACTTTAGTCATTTGCATTACAATATAACCAAACATGTGTGTGAGGCAATTTCGGGTAATTTTGTAGTTTCTGCCCAGAGATGTCTCTCATCCACGTTGGATTACAACGCAATTTAAATGAGAAAAGCAAACTGTAAAAATGGCTATTGTAAATTTCAATTTGTGGATCAGAGAGAGTGCCACATCTGTAGCTTCAAAGGAATAGCCAGATGGATGTAGGAATTTAAAAGCAGAAAAGCTGAAAAAGTTAATTAAACCTTTTAAATTTGTAGAATGTTGTTACTTATAATAAAGAAATGAAGCTTTCATCTTACCTCCTTTGTAAATGCCCTTCCAGCCACCATGATATTCACCAGAAGAAGAGTCAATTTCTTCTAAATGAGGGCCATTATCAGATGTGAAGTAAACAAATGTGTTTTCCTTCAAACCCTGTTCTTCAACAGCAGCCATGATCTGACCAACACTCCAATCCATTTCTTCAACATTGTCACCATAGCGACCATGAATGCTATGATTAGCAAATGGCCTTGTGCTAAACAAAGCAGTGTGCACTTTTGCAAATGACATGAAAAGCAAGAAGGGACTGTCTTTGTTTGTGCGAATAAAGTTGATTGCTTCATCTGTAAATCTCATGGTTAAGTTCTCCAATACAATCGGTTGCTCCACAACTTCATAGTTTTTCATTACGAAGCAGTTAAATGATGCATACATTGTTAGGATGGCCGATAACAGAACACAGACTTGTACAGTTATTGTCAGGAGGACAATGAATGCAGTCTTGCTTAATAAACTGTTCAGGTAGCAAATATGCAGTGTAAGTGCAATGATTATTGCTGCAATTAGGATATTTGTTGGTCGCAAGCCTGGAAGGATAAGTTCTATAACATATTTGCCAGGCTCACAATCTCTCAAGTTTGTAAGTGGCAGACCATAAAAATATTGAAAACCTTGCTTCAGAGGGTGGAAAAAGAAATCAGAGTTGGTTGAAGAATGCAGCCCAAGATGCCACTTGCCAATCATACCTAAGAAAACAGAAAAGAAAAATGTTACTGAAAGTTTCCTATTGCTACTCAGAGCCACCCTTAGGTCACCCTTGGGGAATGAAAGCATGTATAGCTGACCCTTGCATGCATAAAACTGCATGCCAACATAGAGATCCACCCTCTTACCCAATAAGATAATAAGCTTTGGCATGCATTGTCACAGCCCTTCAGTGTGGCTGTTCATAAACATCATGTAAATGACTGGTTTTTTTTCAGAGCTCGACATTGCAACCACTGGGGTCACCGATGTGACCAAACTTTTTTCCCTGGCAACTAACTTTTCATGCTTTTCACTGACAGAAATACTAAAACTAAGGGGCCAAAAAAAATTGACTATCCTGAAAGTCAAGCCCAGTTTTTCCATGCCTCATACATTTTTTGGCCCAGAAGAAAATGTTCACCAAATAATAAATAAATAAATAAATAAATAATGTTTGATAACCACTATTAAATTTGTGCAAACAAGCTGTTTCACTTTTATTGATGCAAAGAGCTGCAAATGGTATTTTTGCAATAACTGTTTAATTTCTTGCAAACTGATTGGCTCATTTTTATCATCAATAATAGTACTGACAGATAAAATTTTAATTTATGTAAGCTTTCAACTTAAACTTTCAGCTGTCAGACTGTCAACTTTTTAACCAATGAGATTTTATGGACTTGTTTAAGTAGCCAATCAAAAAGCCAGAAAAGCTATTGACAGTGTTCACATCATTTTGAATAAAGTCACTTATCTCTGTTTATGGCAATTTTATGCTGTCTTTTCCTCTCATTTATTTCTGGCATTTGATCATTTTGGGGTCTTGTTATTGTAAACAAAACAAATTGATGTCAAATTGATGTCAGATTTTTTATGCGTCTTTCCCCTTATTGATGATCAATTGCGTCATAACATTGTCAAAGTTTACGGAGGGCCTACTCGCCTGCGGCTCGTGGTTCCACAGCCACTTTGACAATGTTATGACACAATTGATCATCAATAAGAGGACCGATACATAAAAAACTGATGTCAAGTTGTTAATTTCCAATAGTTTGATCTTGGAATTTGCTTGGCTCCATGACCGTACATTGTGCCAAAATTTTGTGTTGTACATGAAGTAAGTAATTTAGAACCAGTTGGGTAAACTGGGGGGTGAGGGTATAGCCATGGCGAGAGGGGGGCTGGGGACAGGGTGGTACTCCCTTATTTGGCTTGTGCGGTGACATGCTGCTGGACAGTGTATGGTGTTTTTTGGCCTCGCTGCCCTGAACAGGGTATAACATGTGCAATTTAACTTGCCTCTGTCCTAAAATGGGTTAAAACTTTCTCTAAACAGGGTATGGTTATTGTAACACGATCAGTTTGTGATCTGAGAAGTCAACTGAACTTAACATAGTCATCAGTCAATACAAATCATTTTCAGGATAAGAGTAACAGCCTGAAGTAATACTATTGTTGATGGTATCTTTTAATTTAAATTATTTTTCCAACTAGTCAGTATCATAACATGTGCATATTGAC